CACCCAAAGTCTAGTTTTCTTCCCTTACCATATATTTGTCCCCCTTTACCCAATTTGCCCTCCCCCATCCCTTCACCTGTGGTAATCACCATTCTGTTATCTGTATCTATGAGTTATAGTTGTATATTTAGGATGATATACACCAAATCTTTGTTTTTTTATCTGGTACAATTAGATCTGCTGCTACCCTCTTTTGCCAAATAGAACAAAGCCCCTACCCCTTGGAAAATCTAGCATCAGGGTCTGGATTTCCACCCCCACTCTCCTGCCTTATCTCAGGGTACCTTTATGCAGTGCACTTGCTGCACAAAAGTATGTGGAGCCCATGAAAACGAAATTAGGCAATTTCAGAAATAACCAGCTAAGTATTAGAGCTTCATGTGTCACACCAATTTTTTTTTAAACTATTAGAATTTACACAGTGCTTCTTAAACTTTATTGTGTATTAGAGTCATCCATGAGCTTCTCAAAAGTGCACATGTCTGGGCCTCACAACCTCAAATTCTGATAGAGTCAACCAGGGGTTTGAAGCCCAAGAAGCTGAACTTCTTCAACAAACACCAGAGGTGATACAAATTTGAGAAAAGCTAGCTGAGGAGTAAATAGTACACGTTTAAAAAGCATACAGATAAGGTGTCAAATCATTATTTGTGTCATTATTTTAAGCTGTGTAATCTTGGGCAAAGTAATCTTTCTTTGCCTTAGTTTCTTTGATTGTAAAATGACAAAAATTCTTCCAGCACAGGGTTATTTTAAGGATCAAGTGAGATTAAATGTCCTACCAGAGCACCTGGAAGGTAGTAAGCACTTAATAAATGCTAGCTATTGTTATCCCAACAGACTTTCAGAGCTCTACTCAGGGTAAAGCCAATCGTTAGGAAAGTATTTATAAGGGTACCCACAGCACTTACTCTTGTTTTATGATGTTTGTACCCACCCCCATGGGAGTAAAAACTGCTTTCCATTAGTGTTTCTACACACCCCTTGCTTACTTTTTGAAGTCTTCAGATACAGAGTAATCATCCTTTTTTTTTCTTATTGCCTTCATCCTCATCACCATCCTGATTTTACTCCATCATATTCAGATCTTATCATGCCATTTATCTAGTTTGCCAAATGCCAAAAAGAGTGATTTTTTAAAAAAGTTCCTCTAGTTCCACCATCATGAAATTATGAAAACCTGAATTCTAAGCCTAAACCCCTTTGCAAATAACTTTTGCTAACCTATCTGAAAGCTGCCTGATAAAATTGGAGGAAACTGAAGCAGGGGAACACCTTCAATTAAGGCACTAGAGGCACAGTTTGAATGAGCCAGACTTTAATTATGTCACAAGAATCAATTTAGAGATAACCTCAGTAAATCCTAAACTCAATGATGAACATAAGCATTACTGTATAGTAAGTTTTGTCTGTAGGGGAGGAAAACTTTTCCCTCGCCCCCTCTTTGGATCATTGACTGGGGCACTAAATTAGACTGACAAAGACAGATTAACAAGAGAAAAACAAAGAAGTTTATCAACATGTGCATCGTCCATATGTGTGGAAGCACTCAGTGATGCGTAACTCAAAGATGTGGTTAGAACTCAGGCTTACATAGCATCTTTTTAAGAAAGCAATATGTTCTAGAGACATGAAAAGACAAAGGAAAGGGACTTTAATTTTTTAGGGCAGCATACTATAGGAAGGTAAATATATGGGGGAACTAATGAAGAGCTAGTCAGTAAAGTTTGTAATATAGTTTTCTCTGGCGCCATCTCTGGGCTGATGAAGGTCTAGAGTTGCCTCCAGTGATGGGCTCTGTCCTTCCTGGAAGAGAAGGGTTGGGAGGGAACACCTTACAAATTTATGCCCTGCTTTTAAGCAGATAGGGGGAGGATAGAGAGCTTTTCTTGTATATGCTTCTTTTAAATTGCCATCAGCTCAAAATAATCCTTATGCCAAAGTGGCGTATTCTGCTTCCCTTCATTTCCATTGAAGGAAACTGGGGCATCTTAGAACTGTGTGAAATGGAAGCAGACATTAATTATTTTCAAAGAAATGTGAACATTTTATAAAACATTTTATATAATACCTCAAAGAAGAATTAAAATTCAACATCACTATTGGGTTGTCAGAAAAGTCACGATGCATTTTTTGCAACAAAAAACATAGAAAAAATACATCATGACTGTGCCCATAACCCAATAGCTCAACTGAATGATGTTTTGTCATTTGAAATATTAAAATTTTGCCCCAAGGGCTATTACAAGGGGTAGAATGCCAAGAAGCTTCTAAATAAAACAAATATCTGGGCCCAGCATTTTCCAGTTATTATTTTCAGTCCTCCTATTTACCCACATTCTTTTTTTTTAGTAAATGTTCTTCAAATTGTGTTTCAGAAAATAGGTATAATGGTTCTAACCACCTTCATCTGTGACTGTTTTTCTAGCTCAATTGTACAACATTGTGGTAAAGGATTTAACATCACCAATAGCAACTAGAGAATAAAGTCAATAATGTTGCAACAACTATGTATAGTGCCAGGTGGGTACTAGACTAATTGGGGGGATCACTGCATAAATTATATAAATGTATAACCACAATGCTGTATACCTGAAATTAATATAATATTTAATGTCAACTACAACTGAAAAACAAACAAATAAAAATATATAAAACAATGACTAAAAGAGGAATACAAAAGATACTCACTGAAGCATTTCATTAGAAAATTAACTGCAAAACACATTACTTATGGAAATGAGATGCAAATTAATTAAAATAGTGTTACAAAAATAAGTAGGTTCCCCACTCACCTACCCTAGCCTTGTTTTTGTTGAACCATTTTATCCCTTGTAAATGTATAGTTCTGTGGAATTAAGCACATTCACATTGTGCACCCTCACCCTTTGATGAAGAACCTAGTTTATCTTTGTACCTATAGATTCTGGAGGAGCAGGAACTGAAGACAAAAAAAAATTCCCCAAAACAGAAGGAGAAGGGAAAGGAAGGTAGGAAGGAAGGGAGGGAAGAAGGTCAGCCCGAGACAGTTTTTACCTTCCCTCGCACACTTGGGTTTAGGCATCTGAAGCTGTGAGTTGCGTAGCTGGGAAAAGAATTGTGGCAGTGTGGGGGGTTGGGATTTCAAAGACTGTAAAATATGACTACAACTAGATAATGTCCTGATTATTTTTGGACTCAGGGCTTGACTTTCTTACACTCACGACTTGAAGTTTCTTAAAATTTTTTTTTTTGGCTTTTTTTGTTTGTTTGGTTTTGGTTTTTTGTTTTTAGCTGAGCCATCCTGCCACCTGTTGGCAGCTCAGTGACAGCTCAGCTCGGGCCTTGAATCGAACCGGCGACCCTGTAGCTCAGAGCTCGCACTCTTGAGCAAGCTTTTAACCAACTGAGCCACTCGGCTGGCCCTGAAGTTTTTTAAAATTTTGAATGGACAACAAGACTGCAACAGTGACAGTTTCCCCTTCATCAGTAGCAAGCAATTGCTTAACAACATCTGTATGTATAATAACAGACAATGACAAAGTCAAGCCCTTACAGGAAATGAGGATATGTGTATTAGTATATATCCCAGATTAATGACAGCACAAGTCTTGAAGACAATGTGTTGCTACAGGGATTCAGAAAAAGGAGTAACTTCTGTAAGCGGGAATGATTTTTGCTTAATTGTTATAATGACTCTGTATTTACTTGGTACAAATTTTAATTGAAATAACGTGAAATAAGCTATTAATAAAGATCGCACTTTATATGCAAAATTTGAAATGATATTATACACACAAAAAAGGCAAGGATTGTGTAATTCCAAAGCCAAGCTGCAAAAACTGTTCCTGTTGATGCCACATGATGGCTGCATTATAGGTAGAAGCGATCTACCCAACATTCTTTGTCAGTCCTCTGGGAAAATAGGTCGTGAATTATGAGAGGTACGATTAGTGAGAGCTCCTCAGGAAGCATTTCTCTATGAAATGCACTGCCCTTGTGCTCTAAAGCCTCTGAGGGCAAATATTTTTTTATTATTGGGTTGTCGGAAAAGTCATGACGCATTTTTGCAATGAAAAACATAGAAAAAATACGTCATGACTTTTCCGACAACCCAATATTTTCTTTTCTGGAGGCGGCACTGCTGCTCTAGTATATTACAACAAACCTTCCAGTGGATGAAATGGAAATATCTTGCAAAATGTAAACTTCTTGAATGAAAACTAAATTCACAGGATCACTCTCTCTCTAATGGCCAAAGATCATGGCTGTGGAACATACCTCATTTTTATTTCCTGTGAATGAGACAAATACTGGAATTGAAAATAGAGCCCCTCATTGATAAGATAGAAATATATTGCTAAGACTTTACAAAATTTATCAAGAAAGCAGTCAGTAGTTTACAATGATGGCTAATTCCACCTAGAAGCATGGGAAAATGTATTAAATTCAACCGTTTATTTGTTCATTAATAAAAAAACCTTCACGTAGTGAAGCTGAGTCGACCTGAAGGCTATACCATAGGTCTTTCTGACTAAATTCGAACAGTGGCTTTAACTGTCTTTCTTTGTGTGATTAAGTTCATTTGAGTTGAGTGCTGAGGTCTAATTTGGGTTCATTTGACAATGTCAACCTGTAAGTAATTTTTAGACTGATCTGAGCCACTTTAATCAGCAGACATTAAAGAACGAGTGAGAAAATGGAATCTGTTAAGCAACTTAAAATGGAAGGAAGCAATAGCAATAAGCGATTACTACACTTTTGACATTTTGCAACATGTGAATGAACCACATTATAAATAATATATAAATTTGCACAATTACTTGATTCAAGACCTCAGAACTTACAGTAATGGATTTGAAGCACAAAGTAGAGTGTTTATAGTCAGAGTGAGGTCTTGACTTCCAATGATTATCTCCTTTGGGCCAGAAAGCAAGTTGGGCTCCAGGTTGTAAAGCGTTTTCAATGCCATGCCAAGGCAGCTGACCACTCTTCCTTTCTTATCTTTCCCTGTCTTGCAGACCAGACGATGTGCTTCTGCATCGCACGCATGATGAGATTGTCCTCCTGCATTGCTTCCTCTGGCCCCTGGTGACATTTGTGGTGGGCGTTCTCATTGTGGTCCTGACGATCTGTGCCAAGAGCCTGGCAGTCAAGGCAGAAACCATGAAGAAGCGCAAGTTCTCTTAGAGGGGAAGAGGCTTGTGGAAAGCAAAGCACAGAAGCTGTATCCATCCGCACACATCTACCTGCAGAGCCTGTTTCCGGCGCAGGAGACAGAGGGGCTCTGAGAGGTCTGTGAGAGGCTCCTCCCTCAACGGCAGCAGCAGCAGGCACAACTGGAAGACTTGGAACCTCACAGATTGTAGTCTATGTGTCGTAGCGATGGTTAAAGGGTCCAGCTCTTAGCTGTATGGAGTATCAGTTTCAGAACATCCGATAAGATGTTCATTTTTTTTTGAAAGTAACAGTATATAATTGTACAGTGTAGTATACAAATCATTATGATTTATGGTATTTAAAAATATTAAAATAGAGTGGTCTGTGTTCTTTTCTATTTGCTTTTTTTTTTTTAATGGTTAGACTACCGGGGTTAAAACAAACAAACAAACAAACGAAAATGTCTGGGTTTCATTTGGTTCTGCTAGATTAAATTTTACTTAGAGATGAGGAGTCCTGCACAAGTCTTGACCTCATGTTATAATCCCCAGTTTCCATTATTAGAGAGTACCCTTTTACTCCTGCTTGAAAGAAGGATTACTGCGTTGTTAACTCAGTCTCCAGTCCCTTCTGTGACTCTTCGGCAAAGGATGCTCAAAGATTGGGAACACATGTCCTGCAACACTTGCTTTGGCCTATCCATTATTTTTCACCAGATTATTTCTTAAGAGAGTGAGTTGACTATGCACAAGGCCTGTCCTTGCTCTAAGAGCCCTGCTCTCCTTTATTCATCTGTTCATGTAATTTTTGATGGATTTTATCCTCGTACAATAGAATGTACATGATGTGAAGGACACCTTTCAGCTTAGTTAAATGCTGTTTTCATTTCTCTTGTAGGTCAGAAAAAAATATTCCAAATCTGTTTAAACATTTTGTTTCGACTTTGTTCTTGCCTTGATGTTACCAGTATTAAAGCAAGAATACTGCAGCAGTCATTCAGTTTGCTTGGACAAACCTAGAGATGCAACACAGCTCACATCACCGCTGAGCTTTCTGTGCCTTTATCTAAAGTTCATGGAGGAGACCAGGCTTCTTTGCATCTGTTCATAAACTCAAATTCCAAATATCAGTCACAGGTCTCAGTGAATATCAAACCTACCCTATTTATTTACCAGGTGGAATCAAACCTTTGTTTGAATTAAATGTGTATTTTTAGTGGAGGAACAGCTGACACCCTAATTTCTTTTTGCTTTCTTCTAGTATTCTTCAACATGCTTCTAATAGAATAAAGACAAATTAGAATTTAAGGACAAGCTCTCCTCAGTTATTTGCTCAGGGTTCTAAGAAAAATACATTTGAGTGGAATGATGATTTCCTGACTTTTAGTCCACATATCACTGTTCTTTTAATTTTAGAATGCAAGTAATTGAGAGAGCCATAGTCTTCTGTGGAAAGGTGCTGGATGAGTATGATAATTTTTTTTTCTAATTCAAGTGCTACAGGTTGCACTGTGAACAAGGCCTTGAACACACTATTTATGACATCTTTTGAAGCAGCTATAGTGTCTTGACGTCACGGTTTTCTATTGCAGCATCCCTGTTGTCTTAGCAACACAATAAACTATACTGAAGCTGAGAATCACACAAAAATGGGAATCAGAAAATCATCATTTTTGCATCCCATTGGGGAAATGAAGCCTACTTTATCCATTTTTTTTTTCAAGATTTTATTGGGGAATTGGGGGAGGGGAACAGCATTGGGGAATCGAGGAAGGGGAACAGACAAGTTGCTGTCCTTTTGTTTCTCATTCTAGTTGTGGAGGACGTCGCTTCACTTGTCCATGTCGGTATTATCATTGCGCTCTTCCCGGGTAAGGCAGATCGGTTGCCAGCCACTGGACGGCTGCTCACAGCGGCTCTTGGCAGCTCATACCGGCTGCCGGCCGCTCACGTTGGCTGCCAGCCACTCACGGTAGCTTTATGGCAGCTCCCTGCATCAGGGGCTGCAGCCTACGCCATCTCTGGCAACTCACGGCAGCCCAGCTCCAGGTCGAGCTGTTGTTCACCATCTTAGCTGTAGAGGGCGCAGTGTCACTGTCCCGCATGGGGATTCGAATTGGGGCCCTGCTGCTCAGAGCCCGCGCTCCCAAGCCAACTCAACCAACGCGCCACTCGGCCAGCCCTACTTTATCCATTTTATCTTAATCCAATAATCTATGATACAATTGATTACAGAGAGTAGAAAAAAATAGTACATGGACATATGTTAAGTGTTGGGAAAAGTGATCTGAGTTCATTTATCAATTTGATACTCATACATTTATATTAACTAAATGCCTATATTTAGGCCCCAAGGGTATACATGACTATATTCTGTAGATTGATATTTGGAAAAGAAGAAAAGCACACTGAATTCATGAGGTCACATGTAGTTTTAGGGTCTGACTTGCTTACAGCCAGTTAAATTTGAGATATTTTATTTATACTTCTCATTAAAGAGAAAACCTAAAGGAGTAAGGAAATGACATTTTCAAAAATCATAAAAGGTAAAGAAACCTAATTTCTTAATATTTTAATTCTTTTTTTTTTGTATAAGTGGCCTAAAATGCCAAAATAAGGATCTCTCACATAAGACAGAAGTTTATTTCTTCCTTACATAGCTATCCAGATGTGGTTGAGAAGTATAGAGCAGATAGAGCAGCTCCGTTTCACAAGGTAATCCAGGGACCCAGGATTCATCTACCTTATTCTCTCATTACCAAGGGTAATGGTCAAAGCTGGCTCAAAGAAGCACACCCACTGTGCAGCCTATAAAAAGAGAGGAAGTTGGGAGCAAGCTATTTCCATTTAAGGAAGTTTCAGCCATCATGTCTGCTCTGAATCCATTCATAACTATATACATATACAACTCGTAGCTATACCTAGGTTCAAGGAAGGCTGGGACATGTTATGTCCAGCTAGATGGACGTAGTACTACAACTCCAGGGGAAAGGTTCTATTACTAAAAGGAAAATGGGAGGATTAATACTAGAGTAAAAGGAAAAAATGGTGCATAGCCATCAATGGCCCATGCCATGATGAAAACCTGAGCAGGGCTGACAAAGATTCCTTTACCCTGGTAGGAAATAAGGTCCTTGGTTAAGCCTCGAATCTGCTGTCTGGGAGAAATTCCTGTCCATTGTCTGCTGTGGCCCTTGGTTTGACTTCTAGGAAATTCTTGCTCATCAGGCTCATAACCACACCAGAAACTTTTGGGGGCATCACAGCTTTTGCAGGCCCCTGCCTGTTGGTACAGATTAGTAGACCTAGATTTCCTTAGGGACTGAGCAAACACAGGCTCTCATAGGCTAGGATTATAGTTCATTTGGCTGTGATAAGAAACCGACTATATATTTTTTTAATTTTATTGTTAGTTTCAGGTGTACAGAACAATGCAATAGTTATCCTTTTCACCCCTCACAAAGTAACAATCCCCCTCCCCCATCTACTGTCCTCCCCCACCCCGAAATCATGCTTATCTATTACAATTCCATTGACTCCATTCCCACACTCTACTCCACATCCTGTGACTATATGTATATATAATTATAATTGACATACATTATTATTCAACATCAGCTTCAGAAATACAGTGCAGTGGTCAGGCCTCTACACCGACTATGAAGTGGTCTCCCTAACAAGACATGCCAACTCCATTTTTGATGTGTGACTGCTGACAGCTTTCAAGCCTCTTCATTCCCCTTTGCTCCTAAGCTCCACATCTGGGCGAGCTGATTAGAAAGTGTGGCGGCCTCCTTCTTTGGCCCAGGTGTGAAGTTCAAATTTATACAAGCTCTGGCCTGCACACAGGAACACTCACCCCAGCCTCACACCCTAAGAACAATAACAGCCAAGCCAGTTCTGTCATTTTTTGGATCTGCTGGGGGACGTGCCGTGCTCTCCCCAGAAAGTCTCATTATGTGAATAATAAACATTTTCATACCTTCTTTATGTGTGTGTGGTTATTCGTCTCATCATCCAAACCAAATTATGGGTTAAGTGGTCCATCTGAGGGGTGTCCACAACATTGGTGATAAAATTTTATCAAAACCATAGTAGATTTCCGCTCTATTTGCTATCAGTTAGTTCATGTAAAAGTAACCACAGTCAAAGAGCTCCTCTTACAGTTCTTAAGCCAGCAGCATCTTATTTATTAGTAGTCTGTGTTCTTGGCCCACAACCCCACCCCTCAATTTAAGGGCAGCCACCTTGAAACCTTCTGCAACAATAAGTTTAAGTGGGAATGCAACATCCTTTACCTGATCTTTTCTCCTGAGCTGACTCCCAGTGTCTGATCAGTAATACTCAATGGAGACTCTTTAAAAAAAAATTTACTTTTCAATTACAGTTGACATACAATATTACATTAGTTTCAGGTGTATAACATAGTGATTAGACATTTGTATACTTTATGCAGTGATCACCCTGTATGCCTAGTACCCATCTGACACCATACATAGTAATCACAATGTTCACGACTATATTCCGTATGTGGTAGTTCACAACCCTGTGACTATTTTTATAACTGGCAATTTACACATCTTAATCCCTTGACTTTCTCATTCATATCCTCACTTACCTCCCATCTGGAGATCACCAATGTGTTCTCTGCATCTATGTGTTTGTTTCTGTTTCGTTTCTTCATTGATTTTGTTGTTTAGATTCCACATATAAGTGAAATCATATGGTATTTGTCTTTCTCTGTCTGACTTATTTCACTTAGCATAATACCCTCTAGGTCCATCCATCTTGTTGCAAATGATAAGGTTGCAGTCTTTTTTATAGCTGAGTAATTGGAGGAAGACTGCAAAGTAATTTCCTGTTGTTTGGAGTACAGAAGCCATTGGGCTGCAGGACACAGGTGCAGCTCCTGGACCAAAGCTGTGTTAGCTACTTGTAAACTAGTTCTTGTCTCACTTCAACTATTTTTCATAGCACCTTACTAACGAATAGCAAACAGTGCATGTCATCACTCTGCTTTTTTCTACCCACTTTCCCCAGTGCTACAGGTCTGCCTTCCAAGTTGTTAGTTACCTAATGGTTAGTCAAAGCATAATAAGGATGCCTAGTTTTCCAGCCTGCAATACCTGTTTCTTCATTGCTGGCTGCCTGGCTACAATGCCAAAGCCACGTATTTTAGGTCTGTGTTGTGGCAGGAATATAATTTACCTTGCCTTCCTTTTGAATGGTCTCATCTGGTGATCTCAGATGGCGATTCCCAGATCTGTGATCCCCTGTCCTTTCCTGTTTCATGCTCCAGATGTATATAGCAATAGCTCTGACACATTCTTATTGATCATTTTGTACATAATGACAAAAAATATAATAATAACCCCAAATTATTATTAGTGCTTCCTGTGTGCATCTAAACTCTTTATCATATATCCAGGGCATAGTTAAC